CACGCTGATTGAGTGTCAACAATTGTGTCGTTAGGTGCTTTATCCAATTATATAGTTCACAAGTTGTCTTATTTATTTCACCCCACCATAGAAAATATTTCTTTTATTAACAAGTATTAGAGTATATTATATTAAAATAACTACTACTTATATTATTTAAGAACCAAGGAGTGGTTAACAGAGTTTTTTATTGGTATGAAAAATTGGCACTCAACCACAAGAAATATTGGCTTCTGATTATGAAAGCACTTTAATTTGAGTTTTCCTTTTCTTATTAGATCAATAAGTATATGTTAATTCATATAGTCACAATTCTAAGGTATAATATAGCAAAAACTTTTTCATTAATATTTATCTATGTTGCACCGACTCGGGAATATAGATATTGCGAAGCGCGCGGGGAAGCGGATACTGTAAAACTTCATTTTCCAAAAAGTTGGATATGAGAACATGAAAAAGTGTAAATAATAATAAAGTTGTCCTCAATTACATTTTTTATCTACAAATTATATATTACTCCTATTTATTGGCAAATATCCGATTGATTGTAACTTATTTTGTATTTATCTCTTTACATATTTATCTCTTAGTTGTTTATTTACATTAGAATACTACTAGTACAAGAGGTTAGGTTACACCAAACTTATATGCATACACAAGAGAACCACAAGGTCTCTCTCTTCTCTTCTGCCTCATTGTGAGTTATCATTCCATAATTTACATTCGGGGCATATAAATTAATCTTAGTATGAAAAATATTAGAACACCGTTAGAAGTGAAAATGATACATTATAGAAACGGCCCCAAAACCCGTATCATGGAGCTTTTGTTTCCGAAACGTTTCCAAAACATGGAAGCATGCTTGGGTAGAAGTTTCCGTGCATCATAGATATTTATTGATATTACCGTACGTCATTATTCAATTTGCACAATATTTTTTTAATTAAGATTCAAACTACATTTCATCATTCATTAAAAGTTATATTTATGTATTAACTAGCACGTTAATTAGATTTCTTTGAAAATTGCTCTCCAAGTTCAAATGAATTCATAAAGAACAACCTAGTTATCCCAGCACATAATACAACCTCTTATCCAACTTAATTAAACTAGCCAGCAATACAACAAAACCCTAATAATACTTAGAAAATTAATACTCACGCTAGCACCCCCGCTGGATCCAGCCAAGTTAACAGGCTGACCCGGAGCACGTCGGATTCCAGGAAATGAGCAAAAGGTCGAAGGCCCGAATCCCGAATTCGGGCTGGGAAAGGATCCAGTAAAACCACCGAAGCCTGGGCTCGGAAACGACCCACTGAAAATCGGGCTTGGGTAAGTTCCACCATTAATACTTCCAAAGGTCTGTGGATGGTCGATCTCATCCTTTCCCTTGAGAATTCTTCCTCCGTTGATATCCACTGAGAGTGCACCGAGGAGCACGGTGAGTACGAGGAGCACCTTACCAAAACCCTCCATCACTACTTCTCACTTTTTTGTGTGTGTTGTAGTGTTGCATGAGGAGATATATATAATATCGGAAATTAGATGTCACACCTGGTTATTTATATTGTGTGGATTTAAATTGTAAATTTTCAGACAATCACATATATACACTTATGTGTATGTGTGCTTAGTGAATAGTTAGTAATCAAATCTACATGTCAAATTCATTTAGTTCGGAAAAAAATTCCTTATGTTGAAATGGTGTATTAAATGGCGGTTGTGGTAGATGAATGTGATTAAATGCAACTACTAAAATTTATAATCATTTAAGACTCTCCGTTGATTTTATATGGTACACCATAATTAAGTTTTTGTACGTGCTTCTTTGTAGTCATTTTTTTACTTTTTTAATTAAAAAATTCATTTAGGTGTTGCACAAATACAAAAAAAAATTATAAAATGTGCATGGATTATAAGAAAAGGTTCAAATTGCACCTCGCCTCCTCAAAAGAATCTTTTTTTGCACCTCCCCTCTCAGTATACAGAAATGAGATTGTCTTGCTTTAAACTATACAACTCGGTGCACTTTGCTCCAAATAAAATGTGTACTATCGGTCTAATTCTTGACGGGTTTGAGTAAATTTGAAGGGTGGTTTCATCTTTTAAGGCTTTAAACTGTAACTTTTTTTTTAACCCACCTTACGATAATTATGAAGAACAAAGAACAAATTTGGTCGAATTTGGATAGAATTTCATCTATTTTGGAAGTAAATTTCATCAAATGTGGAAGAGAATTTTGTTAACTATAATTTGGGAACCATAAGTAACTGAATGGAGGATTTTCAAGCGGAAAAAGTAAAATGACATATCCACCTTTAATTCGGCAATACTTAGACTGGAAATACATATTTGGGGCAAAGTGCACCGAGTTGTATATTTAGAAGGGGGACAGTCTCATTTTTGTATTTTGAGGGGGAAAGTGCAAAAAATGATTCTTTTGAAGGGGCGAAGTGCAATTTATCCTAGTAAGGTGACAAAAATAAATGCCCCTCCGTCAATTATTTCTTAATTAATTAAAAGTAATGAGGGCAAAATTCAAAAAATGAAATGAAATTAATTCTTGAAACTCTAAAGTTTCAAATAATTTGAAAAAAAAAATTCCCAAATGGCTAATATTTTGGCATGAGTGGACTATAATGTGTGGTAATACATAGAACTTAAATGAGTAGCATAATATTTAATTTCCTTGTTGAATTGCACAAAATAATAAAGGCGACGGATATATGCAAGCCCATTTTTTTATTAGTACAAGACCCCAAACATAAAAATACTAATTTACCCTTAATGAAATTCAAAACCAAATAAAAAACATAAATTATAAAATAAAAAAAAAAAAAAAAAGAAAGAAAAAAAATCGGTGTTACAACGCCGATTTTGACTTGTAAAGTCGGCGTTGTGTCGCCGATTTGGTTAACAAAATCGGCACTGCGACGCCGATTTTCGTGTACAAAATCGGTCTGGATAAACCGATTTGGGAAACCAACGAAAACACACAAAAAAATCAATTTCAATCTCAATTTTTTTTCCAAAATCCGCTAAAGCATAGATTAATGATCATCCACACATATTTATCAAGAAGCAAGCATAGATTAATGTTCATCCACACATATTTATCAAGAATCGATGCCCGATTAATGTTTTTGAAATGACAAACAAAAGTTTAGTAAAAACAACTTGTTGGTGGTGGTGGTGCGGTGGAGGTGGTGCGGTGGATGGGTCGCTGGTCGTCGTCGGCGCGGTGAAAGTCTCGTTGGTCGGAGTCTCGGCGGTCTGGTGGCGGCAGTGTGAGTTTTTTCAATTTTTTTTTTTTTTTTTTTTTTTTCTTTTTTACTTTTTTGTTTTTCTTTTTTGATCTTGGACAAATTAAAAATAGAGTTTGTTTGTATTTGGGTATTATTTATTGATAAGGGTATATTCGTCCTGTTTGGTCTTGATGTAATAAAATTAAATTAATTTACGAGCTTGAACTAATAAACTCCTTTATGTGGGTTTGAACTAATTACAAAATGGGCTTGCATATATCCGCCGCCAATAATAAAAACTCGTTTGGTTGGTAAGATTAGTTATAATAATTAAATAGTTCGATATACATTTGATTAATCAAATAATTTTTTAGTCGTCCGAAAATCGTGGAAAATTAAGCTCATTAGTTTATATATAAGAAATTATGGATTAATGGATGTCCTCTTCAATTACACAATTGAGATTTCGGTAGATTAATAATCTTATTCGCATATTTACAATCAAATGAAGCATAAAACGATTATGAAAACTTGATAAACACCAGTAATGTTGTACCTTCAATAATGTTCATGTTCATAATTTTGTTTTAAAACATCAATGTGTTCATGTTTTTGGACCAACATAGCTGGCTCCCGCGAATTCAGACGGCAGGTCTTTAAGTCGATGTTCACCGGAATTAAATAGGAAAAGTTTGTCGATGAATTAAGGACAAAATGCACTTCGACCTCCAAAGATTTCCAGAATGCGCATTTTCCACATGAAAATTCAAAAAAGAGATATTAAGGGGAAAATGTTACTTTTGTTACGTATATTAAAGGGGGTAAAGTGTTACTATAGAGATTGAAACTAAAATTGCCCATAAATATAAAAAAACACATCTCGGTACGATATGATGTACCGACCGTTAATATTGTATATTGCACCCGAATATCAAATTTTGTGGTTTGGTATACAAACATACATGATTTCGGTTCTATTCAATTGATTTACAGGATAATGAACACACCTAATTGCACAACTAGACTACCGCCATTAAAATAAATATTACCGGATAATGCATTAAATTAATATTCTTAGGCCTCATTTGGTTGGGAAAATTAGCCATGATTAATTAGATATTTTGACTTTGTTTGATGTTTGGTTAACACAATAACTTTGCAGGTCGACCTGATAATATTATCTTATCATAGCTGACTTATCTTGCCTTTTAGAGAACTTTTTGTTGGACATCCAAAGGTCTAATAAAACAATTGGATTTTCATTATGTTATATAATTTTATATTGACTAATCCTATTATGGCAACCAAACGAAACCTTGAGAATTTTGATACGTACTTAGTTACAGGAATTGAAATATAAGATCTTTCTTCGTTAAGGAAAATGTATTTCTAATCTCAACTAATTTGGTGAGAATATTGTAAGACTATACTCGTTATCGCATTATGTAGTTTAATGCAAGAGGAGAGTCGTATATAGGCATTACACTCGTATCCGTAATGCTGACAACCTGGAAATCAATATTAAGAGAAAAATGAAGGGTCAGACGAGCATTCTCGTATCCTTAACGGAGGTTGAAGGTTATGGGCATTAGTCGTACCAAATAAGATTAAGATCTTCCTATGTAGAGAATGTAAGAAACTTGTTACCCACAAACACAAACTTATCGATGCGCAGGGTGTTCGTGGAAGATAAAACTAAACGACTTCGGCACAATAATATAATATCAAATTTCAGAATTTAAAAAAAAAAAAAAGAAAGAAAAAAAGTTGAGCATTAGAGAAATTGTTCGAAGACACCATATTATGGCCTAGAGGCATAAATAAAGAAATACCAGAACACAAATACATGTAGGTCTCTTTCTTCTACTTCACCAGATTAACAGAGCTAAGAACAAAGTTAATAATATCCAAAGCAGCAACACGGATCGTAATATCAATAAGTTCTTCCCATAAAACTCGCTAACACGGAAAGAAATGCACATGTCCTAATTCATAGTGATTATATAAAAAAGCAAACGATATTTAAAACCTCCTACTTGCCGCCCCGTTTCACCTAAACCTGGCCTTCTTAGCAAGGCTACCACCACCACCAGGTCTTCTCTCCGGCGGTCGAGATTTCCCAAACGTCTTCATCTTCCTTCTTTTCCTCTCCTCTTCACTATCCGATTCGTTGCCCTTTTCTTTATCCGCGTTACTAGCTTCCCTCTCCAGTTCCTCCCACGTTTTTCCTTCATCTTCCTCTGAACCATCCACAGACTCGTCTTCTTCGTCATCCTCTGATTCAACTAGCGACTCGCTATCTTCATCGTCATCCTCCGATACAGATTCCGATTGCGCATCCGACGGTTCATACCCTTGGTCGGATTCCTGCGAGTGGTCGGAATCGGAATCACTGGCCTCCAAATTCAAGAATTCCCATCCGCCATCATCTATAAACTGCTTCGGATCATCGGTAATTGTTTTCAATATCTGCCTCCAATTGAGATTCAAACGACTCTCATAGTATTTGAGATCCGTCGTATCGAGCCACTCCTTAATCCCGTCTAGAGAAGATTGTGGGATTGAATCTATACGCATTACGTCACGTTTGAAGTCCTTGAACACAATAGTCATGTCGAAATTCTTCTGGCCAAGACCAACTCTCTCCAGATTGACTATTTCAATCTCGGCGAGTGTGATTACCACAAAAGGGGTCTCGATTAATTCGACAAGGCAGCTGGAAGTTGGGACTATGAAAGCCGAAGATTTGTGTGGAACCCCATGGAAACCGAGCTCTCTCAATGGCTGATCGAACTCCAAATCGAACGACTTGAACTGCGGTTGACCCCAAAGATCGTTGACTCTGTTGACAAAGTTTTGGAAGTCCATGCTGATTTTATTCTTTCGATCCCTCTCTCGCTGCTCCTCCTCGATTTCATCTGGGTCGTAAGCCGATCTTTTTCCACCTCCGATTGTCTGCACTACATCCATGACTTCAACGTAAAACTGTACGTCTTTTGTTTTCTTGTTTCCGACCATTATGTGATTATGCAGATGAAAATGGACAAGAGTTATCATTTCCTTCTCAGCGGGTTGGAAAAATGCGTGTTTTACGTTTGCAAACATGATATCCACACGTTCGTCCGATCTCGAGGTTGAGTAACGAAACCCGTTCGAATGGGCTTCTAATGTGCCACTAAGCTTTCTCCCACGACCACCGAAAACAGGTCGGATCCACAAGTCGGATAGTCTAATCGGCTTGAATTTCGCACCGGAAAGTTGGAGCTTTTCTTGCGTGACTAAAGTAGCTCTTTCTGCTTTTTCCGATTCACGCGAAGCAACTTGCCTACGAAGGGTCTTGATCGCCTGAACAATTTCACTGATATGTCTCGGGTCCTTAGATCGAAATGAGACTTCTTTAACATATATAGAATCATGAAACTTCTGCAAGTTCTGATCGTGCTGTGAAAAGGGAGCACCGGGTACACTAAAGATTATCCTAATATAGCACGTACGGTTAGTGTCTTGCTGACTTGTCACACTCTTCACAGTAGCAATGTGGAAAGGTACCATCTTTCCGTACACAGGCAAAAGTACGGCCTCGTGTTTCTGGTCAACCTGGATCATCAAGTCTCTTGGCTGAGGCAAATCGTTGACGTTTTTGTACGCGACGAGGTCGCCGGAGGGTCTTGATAGGCCATTGTTCGACCCTTCGGCGCCACGTCCAGCGAGTCTCCTGGCGGTTTCTTCGTTCTTCTGGCGCGCGAGTGCCGCCTGGTGCTGCCTTCTCAACTCTTCCTTTGACACCTCGTGGTTGACCGATCTCAGCGTTGCCTTGGCGGCGTTGGGCAGCGCGGCATTCACCTTCGACAGCTCTTCTACTTCTTCTTCTTCTTCTCCCTCGTTGAACGAATAAGCCACGTCCTTGACAGCCTTCGAACTAGTGGAAGTCACCACTTCTGGGGAAGTTTCGCCAACGATAACTGTGTCCGCTAGCAACACAGAGAACTTTTCTGTCTTGGGATCTTTCATCTCTGTTTGCACATTCTGAAGCCCAAGTGACACATTGAAGACCATCCCAGTTTTCAGTATCCTCTCGTTTTTGCCATTTAAAACAAGGCTCGACTCGCGAAATTCGAGGCCTATTCCAGTTCCTGCAGATCTCGTCAAATTCGGAGCAAATTCAGGTGCCTCACTTTCGACTACAGACATGGCTGCCAGATAAGCGTCACTAGCCTTATTCCCTGGCTTCAAAGCACCAATCGCTGCTTCGTGGGCCTTTAGGAGAACTTCATAAGCCTTGCTTTGCACCGAGTTTGCATCGATCAGAAAAGTCCTGGCTACATTCGAACAGTAGCTATTGTAACGAGACCCTATTGCACATATGATCACACTCATCGAATCGTAGAACAAACTGTCGTCATTGCTCGAAGCACTCGGTTTCAGATCAAATACTCCTCCACTCTGAAAAATCGGCGGGTAACAAATATCGACGTTATCTGCTTTCAGCTTCACCTTTATCTTTGCAGGTTCGAGTATCACCTTTTCAGTTTCGTCCATTAACGAAAAGTGGGTGACCTTTTTCTCCTCGTCGATTGTCTTCTCCAATTTCGGAACCACGAAATGCTTCATCACTGAAGAAGTCAAGTAAGCGGCTTTCTTGATATTTGTAACTTCAGCAGTGTCTTTCACGGCGAAAAGATCGGAGAAACCGTTAGTGACATCAGCGAGCTGAAAATTTGCGCTCTTCAATTTCTCGTCCCACATTTCAAGAAAATTCCCTTCGGGGGCTTCTTTAGCAATGTGCCCAATAACAGGGGTATCATACTCTGAACGAACAGCTCTGAATATCTCTTCAATTAGTGATGCCCCGTCGTTATTTTTACCCTTCACGTGCATTACGACTTGCACTTTCACGGCATCTTTGGCAGTTTTTTTGACAACATCGAGTAACGACACCTTTTTTTGGCTGCATAGGAAGTGAATTTCTTTCTTCGTGAACACCATGACTGTGTCCGGAAATTCATAACCGATTAACCATATATTCAAGGCTGAGGATTTCAAGTATCGAAGATCCTCTGAAGGTGGAGGAGTTGCCACTGCAAGAACATTAGAACCACCCCATAGATCATCCTTGTACTTGCTCCAGTGCGAGTAAAGTGCTTGTAAACGTTTGCTGAAGTTTTCAAGATTGATTGTGTACGCACTGGCCGCATTTCCTGATGCCTTTGCAGCCATCGAAAACAACTGCAATTTTGACCCCTTTTACTCTTCGTCTGAGAAAATAAAAATAAAAATATCATTTCCGGCAAAAAACGAAGCTGTTGGAAACAATAATCGATTTCATCATAACTCACCCCTTTTCCTCCCAAACGAAAATCTGAATATTAGCACTCTACAAACTCAATTTACAGCATGAAAATTATATTCACATACCACAAACTCTAATTCAGCATCAAACCCACCAATTTCACAGAACGGAAGAAAAAAATTTCCGAACATCATAATTTGCAGCGGAAATCAGCAACTTAACAGAAGCTTAAAAAGCGCAAATCTAAGAAAATAAACATGTATTACTCATAAAGAACTACTTTCATTCACCAGATGAAGCTTCCAATGGCTATTACATTTCCGATCTAGGTCAAAATTGGGGGGAAAAAAATAAAATATAAATTTTCATAGCAAATCTACTTTGACTTTCAATCAATTGTTTGGGGGAGAAAAGCTGAAACAACAGAAATTAAATTGAATTGAAGCTTACATTAATCAAAAGTCTCTGCGAAGATCGATCGGCGAAGAGAAAACAGCGAACGCATAATTTGGAGGACAAGTGATTAATGGCAGAACAATGTTTTTTTTTTTCTGTGAGAAAGGGGATATTCAGATATTTCTAGGGTTAGATAGACGATGAAGAAAGTATAAGAGGTCTGGATAATTACTTGGATTGCCCTTTCTGTTGCACCAAATTACGGGGATGCCACATAAATGAGGCGGTAGTTTTTAGTTTTTAGGTTTGGAATTGGAAATAAAAAGCGGGTTTTCTCATTTCTGAATTCCAGTTTCTCTTGCACCGCGGTTGAAATAATTTAGCGAATTAAGGGTGAATTGTATTTTGCACCCCATAATTAACGCTAATTGGCACTTTGCACCCCCAATGTTTCAAAATTTGGCAAAGTTCACCATCAAATTATATTTTTCATGGCACAATTCACACCCACATCAATTCCTTATGAGATTTTAACCCAAAAATCAAAATATCACCATATAGAGTATTAACTTTGAGGCGTGCTATTTTCATCCTTAAAATATCTTATTTCATCACCAAATTAAACATATTTCCTATTTTACCCCTTTCTTCTTCTTTCACCTATATTTTTTACAAATTTTTAAACCGTCCACCACTAAACTAATTAAAATATTTATAAAAAAAACCCCACCGTTTTCACTAGAACCTTGACGTCAAAATTTCACCATCTCCACTTTAAGTGAATAATACTTTCGTCAAATAAAAATATTTTCGAAGGTCAAAAAGAATAGGAATTCACGTTATTGGAGAAATAAATTAAGAGTGCTTGTATGGAAGGTCCTGAACTTCCTCCAAAATTAGCCATCTTGGCTTAATATAATTTTGTTTCCTAAATTTTTTTACATAATATGTAAGTCATCTGATATGGAAGTTTAAATATCTTGTAATAAATATTTCATTGCAAAAAAAAATTAAAAAAATAAAAATAAATAAAAATAAAATAGAAATAACTTGAACACGTGAGGATTAAGCGACTATAAGGAATGGGGGTGGATTATAAAATCGATGGGTATTTATGACATTTTATATATCTTTGGTGGTGAATTGAGATACTTTGGAATGGAAATAGCACCATTCTTAACTTTTGAAAGGATTATAATGCTTGGTGGAATATTATAGTTCTTATTTTTTAGTTTAAAAAAATTAAATTGTAAAGCCTCATTTTAATTAATCTATGTAACTACACGTTTTTAAAAAAGTTAATAATGTCCAACAGTTCTCATTCTATTTTTATTTAATATATATTAATTTCATAGTAAATTAGGATTTTTTGAATTTACTTGAAAATTAAAATTAAAGTAGAAATTTTATATACATTTTTTTAATTTTATGCAAAACATATGAAATAAATCACCACTTATGTTGTTTTTAAATATTTATATACAAGTAAAATAATTAAAATAAATATTAAGTAAGATAACAAAATATAAAGAAGAATGAATTGTTCAAATCTTATATATAAAAGTAAAAAAACGTTAGGGCACCCTGAGAAACTCTAATTGCATATTTGTAATTTTTTTAATATTAATTATCAGTATTTTTTCATATGAAAGAATTCTTTTAAATATCTTTTAAATGATTTCTAATTATTCACATTTTTTAAATATTTATTATTGTTTATTAAGTATCCCTACAATAGCCATATAATTTCTATGATTATTAGAATCCAGCTTAATGAAGTGGTTTATCTCGAAAGCAACAAGGCCATTGTTCGTGATAAGATGTTTAAGCACAAAAGTTGATTAGGTAGCGGAAATTAAATCTTTCAAGATCAATTTTAGTATGTTTGTAATCACTTTTGACCCAAATTTGTAAATTGTATTGCAAAGGATTATGTGTCTGTAATCGATTATTTTTTCCGGTTGTTTCACCTTTGGGATCAAGACAATATAGGTGAAGTTAAGAAGCGATGGAAGGGTTTTATTGTTCAAAAATTCCAGAATGCAAGAACAGACATCATACCTTAATATATGTCAATATTTGGTGTAAAATAAGACAGGTAAACTATCAGAACTAGATGATTGAAGAGGGGCCATTTGTGAAATGGCACGGGTTAAGCATCAGACTCGCTTCGCTGGAAATCCTCGGCTCAGTTTGACTCATCACCTTATCTATCTCTTCTTCAATAGGGTTTGTTGTGTGAAAGATCTCGCAGAAATAGTTCGAAACAACCTGCTCAATTATCCTGTGGCTTATCCTTCCACACACCCATGCTATCTTTAATTTTCTCAACTCTGTAAGTTTGTTGCATGAATGTTGCTTTAGAATGAAAAAATCCAGTATTTCGATCCCCCTCACGCATTCATTGTATCCGACTTCTTAGACGCCAATACATATCATTATCCTCGTATAATTGCTCTAGCTCAGCCCATAGGGCATGAATCTCGGCCTTGCCAGATTCTGATTGAGTTCATATGTGAAGCACATGAATCTTTTCCTGAATCTCCGCAATCCTTCTCTGTAACATATAAATAAGCTTCGAGCATATAAATATTATAGTTATGTAACATATAAATAAGGGTCTATTAGCGAGATCTAGGGGTGCAAGTTGGAACGGGAATTTTAATTTCCGTCGGTTCCGATTCGAGAAGTTCCGATTTTGGAACAACTTTTTTCATTGCGATTTCCGACTTTTTCCGATTTTCATGGATTGGAATTAGAATTATAAAAAAAAAAATGGAATTTCCGGTTTCTGATTCAATTAAAATTCTGAAATTAATTCCAAAAAAAATACAAAAAATGACACGTGGTAGCAAAAGACCTATCCGGTGTTTATTACCGGGTGTAGGGTCGAAGAAGTCCATTAACCCCATATAAAATTAGAATTTTGATCAATTGATGAATTGTTGTTAGAAGTTTTGTTGAGTACTATTATGTGTTTTATTTTTATTTTTTTTTAAACTGAAATTTAATAGTTATTAGTTTTACTTTCATCGAAGTGGATGTTCTAAGTTTTGAAAAATTATGAAATTTTCATAAAATTTTTGCTAAATTTTGAAATTTTAAATTTATTTGATTATCAATTTCTTTCCGAAATTACAAAATTTTCGGACCTTATTGAAATGGATTTTTAGACTCCTAAAAATTTGGAAGGCAAAATGAGTTTTTTAGTCCTGTAAGTTTAGTAATTGAGAGTTTTAGTCCACCATGTTTCAAAATTAGGATTTTAGTCATGTAAGTTACAAAAGTTGGGAATTTTGGTCCTATGACCTGATATAACAGGTAATCTGATGGTTGATTGAATGAGTTGGCATTTAAAATATAAAAATAAATAGATTAAAAATAAATTAGGTGATGTGGCTAATGACTTGGATGATTTTGGAGGGAAATAAAATATATCATCAAAATATTATTTGTATTTGATGAATGAAATAAGCATTTTTGTAGTAACTATTTTTAATTAATATTTCATAGTTTTTTCAATTGATAAAAATAGTAATTAACTATATTTTTTGTTACTCTTGGTTTGATAACGTATTTTATGTTTGGTGGCTCTAGAAGACATTTAATTTAATCAAGTTTTGAATACATTTTATTATTATTTTTTGGTTAATTCGTAAATGTATTTGATTTTTATACTAATTATGATTGTGCGTGTCATTTAACTTTACAACAAGTTTTAATGAAAGGGTATTTTTTTTTCATTTTTGTTATATTTGATTATTGGTTCAATTTCCTTGTAATTACTAAGTATAGATTTGTAAAAAAAATAAAATATTTAGATATATATGAATTTAATTACTATTTTTATCAAATAAAAAATTAAGAAATATTATTTAAACATTACTTAATTTTATTTCCTTCATAAAAAATATAGTGGTAGATTTTATTCAATGATTTATTGTGGTTCTTTATTGCAAATATAACAAAAAAAAAATATATAAATTAATATGCTAAATTTTCCTTATTATTTTGGTGAATTTGACATCTGAGAATCAAAATTTTCTTTAAAACCATCCAACTCATTAGCCACATCACCTAATATATTTTTAATCTATTTATTTTATATTTTAAATGCCAACTCATTTAACCAACCATCACATTACCTGTTAAAGCAGGTCATAGGACCAAAATTCCCAACTTTTGTAACTTATAGGACTAAAATTCTGATTTTGAAACATGCTTGACTAAAACTCTCAATTAATAAACTTACAGGACTAAAAAACTCATTTTGCCAAATTTGGATTAGAATTGGAATTGGAATTTGAATTGGAATTGGAATTGGATGATATTTGGCCCTTTTGGTTTGCCATATTATGGCTGATGGGACAAATAATACCCAGTAGGAGGATATTTGGTTTGGAGGTTTGGGCACATGTTGATAAATGGTCCCACCATATTTATCAACCAATCGAATTATTACCTGTCAAGCCAAATTTGGCTTGACTATTTATCATCAAATAATCCCATCATCTGCACAAATGTGATATGTCGATTGTGCCCTTACAAGGAATAATTACACAAATATTACATATAAAAGGTATAATCTCCAGATCACCTTTCACTGCGCTGAACCCTAATCTGTCGCGGTAAGAAATTATCTTTCATCCAAATCTTTTTTCCCCAAAATCGACAATTTATGTAAGTGTGGTTTTGTTACGCCCGCCTAATTAATAGAAGAGTTTTTCATTTCGCAGAGAATGAGGAATGTTAATTTTGGCTAATTTTCGGGCACGCTAAGAAGGCTTACAATTTTTGGGTTAGATCTGGAAAGGTAATCCTCAAAATCGTTGTCTTCATTAGTTGTCTTTTGAACATCGTTGTATGTCGTAATTCCCATTCTATTTTTTTCCGACAAAATTGGGGTTGTCGATAGGAAAGGAGACTACCTTTACTCGATTAGATTGTTGGCTTTTTTTGCGCGAAATAGCCTTGCCTTGACCTGTTCCAAATTCTTGACCAAATTCAGGTATGTATTCGATTGGATGGGTGGTTTCTAATTTTGAACTTTTGTATTATTAAACTTATTTGCGTTCTATAGTTGGCTTGAATGATGTTACATGTCGTGATAATCTTAGTTAGAACATACAAACCTTCTACCGTTTGTGTTATGTTTTGGAAAATGTTGGTGGTCTTAAACCTAATAGAAATGTGTCCGTACCCGAGCAAGTTGCAATGTTTCTTTAAATACTTGCCCACCACACAAAAAATGTCGTTGTTCGA